TTTGTGTGGAACAAGGCAGCCTCGCAGCGTGTCGGCTTTTGCGAGTGATTTTGTAGCTTCCCATCGAGCGGTCAAAGGAGTTGCGGAGCCTGTGTTTGTGGTGACATCTTAGCGCTTCCCTGAGAAGCTGCATGTCACCCGCTGAGGCCTTCAATCCCTCTCGCTGCAGGATCGCTGTCTGATTTGCCTTTGATCAGTTCCGCTACACTTCACCACAGAGAGAGGTAGCGAGAGAGAGAGAGAGAGAGCATTGTGAGAGACACTGTCAAAAAATAGAAGCAACAAACCCTCCATTACATACCTTCACATCATAGAGTACTGTAGCGCAGTGGTTAGAGCACAAGCGAGAGGACCGAGAATAAATAATAATCATAATAATAATCATCGCGTTTGACCCGGCGCTTTATCACGTCTTCGAGACATCTCAAAGCCCTTCACAACATACACTGTAGAGTCCTGTAGCTCAGTGGTTAGAGCACACGCTGTGCAAGTGAGAGATCTGGGTTCAATTCTAGGCAGAGGGTGAAACCTTGGGCAAGTTTCCTTACTCCACACACCTAATAATAATCCCTCCAAAACAAAACAATAATAAATTGGTCATTTTCAATTCATGATTCATGTGGGACATTGCTGTGCGCAATTGGCTGCTGCGTTCGCCCACAAATATACTTTACAGTATATTTTACAATTCACTTTACAGTATATTCTGTGAAGCACTTTGGGACGTCTGGAAGACATGAAAAGCGCTGTATCAAATGCAAGGATTATTATTATAGTGACTGTATTTTGCGGGCGAAACGCGGCAGCCAATTGCACCCAGTGACGGCCCCAAAGTGACCAAATTGTTATTTTTTTTTTGTCTTGAGGGATTATAGAAACGTAGGAACAGGAGGAGGCCATTCAGCCCCCTCCAGCCTGTTCCGCCATTCTGTGAGATCATGGCTGTTCTGTACCTCAAGTCCAACTGCCCCGTATCCTTAACACCCTGACCCTGATCTTTGTGTGAAAAGCTACCTCTTAATTTCACTCCTAATTGCCGTGGCTTCTGCGAAACATTGTGAGACATCAGGAAGCTTTGCAGGAGAGGTCTTGCCTCTGAGCGTCAGCCTGGACTGTCAGTGAGAGTATGAGGGACTGAGCCCGACTGAGACTTGGAGGTGACGACTGGAGCCCAGAGAGAGAGAGTGAGAGAGAGCGCGAGCTTGAGAGACAACGTCAGACAGAAACGTAAGAGGGAAAGATAGAGAGAGTCACTGGTGAGAAAGACAGAGAGAGAGAGAGAGAGAGCGCGTGAGTGACTGAGCACAGCTGAGAACAGGCAGAGAGTGCAGACTCTCGGTCTAGTCTTGTTCCTGCTGTTGCTCGCAAACGCAGGGAGTCGGAAGTTAAGTCAGTGATTTGGGGAACTCTCGCTGGCAAAAAGCGATGCTCGCAATTAGCCGAAGTTGCGATGCGAGCTGTGACCATGCCACACCTCCTCCTCCCCGGGGTGTAACTAACGTTGCTTAAACGATTTCCGACCGCGCTCAGCCGCCCAGAGATCACCACCAGCGCACCCCTCTGCCTCTCTCCGCAAGGCAACAGCTTCCATTTACACGGCGCCTTTCGTGCCCGGAGAGGACGTCTCAAAGAGTTTTCCCTCTGCACCAACAATGGCGGCCCTGATTTCTTTTTCTAACCCGTCCCCGCACTCAAAGAAAATGCTAACCAGATTCCCTGCATCCCATGGAATTCCCAGAGAAAGATTGTCGGGAATGAATAAGTACTCTCTCTCTCTCTCTGGACCCACCCGGCTCACCTAATTCCAGAGAGTATTAGGTGCAGGTTGGCGAGAGCCAAGGCTTGTGTGGGAGTGAGAGGGTGAGCCCAGAGTGTGCGCTGGGGGGCAACTGCTGGGACCTAACCTGCTAAACCCACACACAGCTTGGTCATTGAGAGAGAGAGAGGAGAGAGAGAGAGTGCTTTCCCGCCGCTTGTCCAAACCTTCAGCCTCACCCATCTTCAGATCGGGTCTGAAGACTTTCCTTTTCGACCGCGCTCGTTCTCCCTTGGCACGGCGGAGGCTCTGCCATTGTTAAGCGCCCCGAGACGCCTGCACCACGTGAGGGGCGCTGTGTAATTGCACTGTTTGTTGAGAGGATGAGGTTTGAAAGATGGCGAGGGAGGGAGATCGGCTGAAAGCCTGCAGATCAGGCAGGGAATGTGAAGCACACACACACGCGCTCCCCCCCGCCCTCTCTCATTCCTCTCTCTCTCTCTCTCTCCCCACTTCTCCAACTGTCCCCCTCTGTCTCCGTCTCTATCCAACCTCTCTCTCTTTTTCCCCTCCCTGTTTGTCTCTTCCCCCCCCACCTCTCTCCCCCTCCCTCTGTCTTCCCTTTCTGTCTTTCCACCATTTCTCTGTCATCTTCGCTTCTCTCTCTCTCTCGATGTCTCCACCTGTCTCCCACTCTCACTCTCTCTGTTTTCCTGTCTCTCTCTTTCTCTCTCATTCAGTTTCTCCTCTCTCTCTTCTCTCTCCCACACGCTGTTCTTATCTCCTCACATATTAAGCGTAACACATCTCCTCATTTGTCCACAAAACATACAGTCACTGTGCATTACAGTGAATCCTGGGAAGCGCTTTGAGATGTCCTCCTGAGGTGAGAGGCGTTGAATCAAATGAACTCAATTGGAGACCTGTAGCCTAGTGGTTAGAGCCCTCGCCTCGCAAGTAAGACATCTTCGAGACGTGATAAGGCGCTGTATCAAATGCAAGGATTAATATTATTATAATAACTGGACGGATTATTGGCAGATTATAACACCTCCTGGTTATCCCCTCACCCCAGAGAGAATATCGTTTAACACTGCACATCACCAACTCTAACAGCGACGCTGCTAAATACAGCATTTATCCAGGCGTTGCCATGACGACCCTATTGTGAGCGAGAGATGAAGAGAATGAGATACGAGAGCAGAGGGAATCTATCGTTGAAGGCTCCCACCCTCTGCGCCCACACACACGCACACACACACACATGCACACACACGCGCGCGCTCTGCATCTGTTTCCCTTCACAACAGAATTACAACCCCCCCCCCCCCACACTCACTCACTCACTCCTTCCATCGTGATATCAGGCGCTGTGTAAACGTAAACTGTTGCTTCCTTGTGAAGAGAGAGAGAAGAGCGTTGGTAGTGCATTAATATCAGACTATATAGAGGTTCTCACTGTTAATATCAGACTATATAGAGGTTCTCTCTGTTAATATCAGACTATATAGAGGTTCTCACTGTTAATATCAGACTATATAGACATTCTCACTGTTAATATGAGACTATATAGAGGTTCTCACTGTTAATATCAGACTATATAGAGGTTCTCTCTGTTAATATCAGACTTATTTAAAGGTTCACTGTTTATATAGAGGTTCTCACTGTTAATATCAGACTATATAGAGTTCTCACTGTTAATATCAGACTATATAGAGGTCTCACTGTTAATATCAGACTATATAGAGGAATATATAGAGGTTCTCACTGTTAATATCAGACTATATAGAGGTTCACTGTTAATATCAGACTATATTTCACTGTTAATATCAGACTATATAGAGGTTCTCACTGTTAATATCAGACTATATAGAGGTTAATATCAGACTATATAGAGGTTCTCACTGTTAATATCAGACTATATAGAGGTTCTCACTGTTAATATCAGACTATATAGAGTTCTCACTGTTAATATCAGACTATATAGAGGTTCTCACTGTTAATATCAGACTATAAAGAGGTTCTCACTGTTAATATCAGACTATATAGAGGTTCTCACTGTTAATATCAGACTATATAGAGGTTCTCACTGTTAATATCAGACTATATAGAGGTTCTCACTGTTAATATCAGACTATATAGAGGTGTCACTGTTAATATCAGACTATATAGAGGTTCTCACTGTTAATATCAGACTATATAGAGGTGTCACTGTTAATATCAGACTATATAGAGGTTCTCACTGTTAATATCAGACTATATAGAGGTTCTCACTGTTAATATCAGACTATATAGAGGTTCTCACTGTTAATATCAGACTATATAGAGGTGTCACTGTTAATATCAGACTATTATAGAGGTGTCACTCTTAATATCAGACTATATAGAGGTTCTCACTGTTAATATCAGACTATATAGAGGTTCTCACTGTTAATATCAGACTATATAGAAGTTCTCACTGTTAATATCAGACTATATAGAGGTTCTCACTGTTAATATCAGACTATTATAGAGGTTCTCACTGTTAAAATCAGACTATTATATAGAGGATCTCTCTGTTAATATCAGACTATATAGAGGTTCTCATTGTTAATATCAAACTATTATATAGAGGTTTTCACTTTTATTATCAGACTATATAGAGGTTCTCACTGTTAATATCAGACTATATAGAGGTATCACTGTTAATATTAGACTATACAGAGGTTCTCACTGTTAATATCAGACTATATAGAGGTTCTCGCTGTTAACATCCGACTATTATATAGAGAATCTCTCTGTTAATATCAGACTACATAGAGGTGTCACTGTTAATATCAGACTATATTGAGGTGTTCACTGCTAAGCCAAGATTCCTTACACGCCTGTTTACCCAGCAGTAAGTTTCCAGTTGTTAGTCGATTGGATGACCGCTTTCTGTGGGTTAATAATCCCTCTCCCTCCAAACAATTAAAATATGAAATAATATTAATCTGGTTGCTTATTCCCCTGCTGTTTGTGGGGACGTCGCTGGCCGCAATTGGCTGTCATGTTTCCTCCACAAAAACACAGTCAATTCACTTTATAGTATATCCTGTAAAGCACTTTGAGACGTCTCGATAAGGCGCTTTATCAAATTCAAGGATTATTATTATTATTATGTCTTGTGAAGCACTTTGAGACATCTCAAAGACGTGATAAGGCGCTGTATCAAATGCAAGGATTATTATTATTGTTATTATTATTATTATTCTCCTCTCCATAGGACGACTCCTCGATGTTCTTCCAGTTTGGGCCCAGCATCGAGCAACAGGCTTCGGTCATGTTGAACATCATGGAGGAGTACGATTGGTACATCTTCTCCATCGTCACCAGCTATTTCCCGGGATACCAGGAGTTCATCAATAAGATCCGCAGCACCATAGACAATAGCTTTGTGGGGTGGGAGATGGAGGAGGTCATGTCCTTGGACATATCCGTAGGCGAGGGCGACTCCAAGATCCAGAACCAACTCAAACGGTTGCAGAGCCCTGTTATTCTCCTGTACTGTTCCAAGGACGAGGCCAGCTATATATTCGACGTGGCTGAGTCGGTGGGCCTCACCGGCTACGGTTACATCTGGATTGTGCCCAGCACCGTGACAGGCAACACCGATATTATCCTGCCGGAGTTTCCCACCGGCCTCATCTCCGTCTCCTACGACGAGTGGGACTATGGGCTGTCCGCTCGCATGCGGGACGGCATCGCCATCATCACCACGGCCGCCTCCACCATGTTGGCCGAACGCAGGGAGATCCTGGAGCCACACAGTAGCTGCTTTAGCGTGCAGGAGAGAAGGTCGCATCAGTCAAACACACTGCACAGGTAAGAGAAGGGGAAGCTATCCCTCCCAGCTATTTGGCTTGTTTTACTGTGGAGCTGTTTATGGTGGTGGTTGGGCAGTCGGCCCAAACTTGACGTTGAAGCCGCTTTGTCTTCAAACCTCATAGGCCTCAGACACCAAGGTTGGGCTGGAGATATTTTGGCCTTGGAGGTGGTAATTGGAACGCAGTGTAGTGAGCCCCACACAACTTTCCTTCCCCTGTGGTTTTGGTTTCCTGTGTGGCATCAAATTGACCCCAACTTTCTCCCCTCTCTTTCCCCTCTCACTCTCTCTCCCTTGGTATTCTCAGGCAACAACCTCTCAGTGTTGTTTGGTGAATTCTCAGTTGGTTTGGAAGGGGGATTCAGCCGTTTGGCGATTGGAATTGAGCCACGTTTTGATGTTATCTCTTTGGATGGATCTTTTTTGCAATGTCTCTCGAGTTGGAATGCCTTGGTTGTCGGTCCTCTCCTTGTCTTGGGTCCTTTGCGTTTGAGTTGTATATCCGCTGTGTTGCGTTGTGGTGAAGTTTTGGTGGTGATGGGGGTGGGAGGAGGCACTGATATTCTGGTGAGAGGGTGAGTTTGGGACCAGAGCAGAGAGGAGGCTTTATTCTTGTAGCCATCCAACCTCACCTTCTGTTGAGATATTGCAGGCCTAGTTGGACTGACCTAGTTGCCTAGTCACTATGCTTCAAAGTGTGTGTGAAGATCTTTGAGACACAGAACAGGGGCCAATATTCAGTTGACGTCAATACCTGAAATAACTCAGTCTATGTATGCCTTACCAGTGAAGAAAAGACACTCCCTTAGGATCTGCGAAAGAGGCCAGGGTATTCTGTGAAAGAGCATTCAGGTTCTGAAAAGATTCGATGAAGGATGGACAGTTTCCACTTGTTGGTGAGTCTCTCCAATCAGCTCTCCATCCCCGTAAATCATACAATCATGCAGCACAGCAGGAGGCCACTCGGACTATCGTGTCTGTGCCGCTTTTTGAAGAGCTTCCAATTCAACCCCACTCCCCCGCTTTCTCCCCACAGCCCTGCAACCTTTTCCTCCCCCAGAATTATCTACTTCTCTCTTAAAATTTGTTATCAAACCGGCTTCCACCAGCCTTTCAGGCAATGCATTCCAGATCCCAACAACTCGCTGTGTAAAAAAAAATTCTCCTCCCCTCCCCTCTGTTTCTTTTAATAACTATTTTAAATGGTGTCCTCGGGTTACCAAATCACCCACCAGTGGGAATAGTTTCTCCTTGTTCACCCTATCGAATCCCCTCATCATTGTGGAAACTTCTATTAAGTCTCCTCTTAACCTTCTCTGCTCCAAGGAGAATAATCCCGGCTTCTCTGGCTCTCCTGATAACTGAAGACCCTCATTCCTTGTACAATCCTGGGAAATCTCTTTGCACCCTCTCTAATGCCTTGACATCCTTCCTAGTATCCCGTATGCTTTTTTAACAGCTTTATCTACCTGTCCTGCTACCCTTAAAGATTTACTTATAAGAACCCCCAGGTCTCTCTGTTCCTTCACCCACTTTAAGATTATACCATCATCTTATATTGTCTCTCCTCATTCTTCCTCCCCAAATGCATCACTTCACATTTCTCCACATTAAACTCCATCCGCCCCGTGTCTGCCCACGTTACCAGTCTGTCTGTGTCCGTTTGCAGTCGGTTACTATCCTCCTCACTGTTTACTACTTTTCCAGCTCAGTATCATCTGCAAATGTGGAAATTGTATTCCCTAAACCCAAGTCCAGTCATTTATATAGATCACAAACAGCAGTGGCCCCAATACCGACCCCTGGGGTTCACCACTGCACTTCCCTCAGGTCAGAAAATAAACCGTTCACCACCGCTCTCTGCTCTCTGTCTCCCAGTCAGTTCTGTATCCGCTGCTACTGTCCCTTTAATACCGGGGGCTTCGATTTTGCTGACAAGTCTCTTATGTGGCACTTTATCAAAAGCCATTTGAAAATCCATATAAACTACATCACCTGCACTGCCTTCACCCGCCCTCTCCGTTACTTCATCAAAAACTCTATCAGGTTTGTTACACATGATTTGCCTTTAACAAACCCATCTTGGCTGTCCTTTATTAACCCATATTTTTCTAAGTGAAAATGTATTTTATCTCAGATTATAGTTTCTGACGTTTCCCCACTGCTGACGTTGGGCTGACTGGCCTGCAGTTCCTGGATTTATCTTTCTGCCCCTTTTTGTACAGGGGAGTAACATTTGTAACCCTCCAGTCCTCTGGCACCACCCCAGTGTCCAAAGAGGATTGAAAGATTGTGGCACAGAGCCTCCGTTATTTCCACCCTTACTTCCCTCAGTAACCTAGAATCCATCCCGTCCGGACTGGGTGACTTATCTGCCAACAACCTCTTTAGTACCTCCTCTCGGTTTATTCTTATCTTATCCAATCTCTCTCCCCTCTCCTCCGATACTGTGGCATTGGCTGCATCCTCTTCTGTTGTGAAGACAGATGCAAAGTACTCATTCAGTACGTCAGCCTATGCCTTCACAAGAAGATTTCCTCTTTGCTCATAAAATACTTTAGGTTTCACTTTTATGTTACCCGCTAATCTTTTCTCATGCAATCTCTTTGCCCCTCTTATTTCCTTTTTCAGTTCTCTTCTGTACTTTCTATATTCTATTTGATTCTCTTCTGTATTTTGGACCTGACATTTATCATAAACCTCCTTTTTCTGTTTCATTTGAATCCCAAATACCTTATTCATCCAGGGAGGTTTGGATGCTCTATATTTCCCATTTGTGGGAATGTATTTACTCTGTCCCCGAACTATCTCCTCCTTGAAGGCTTCCCATTGCTCGTTGGCTGTTTTCTTTCCAGTCCACCTTGACGAGGTCCCTTTTTAACTCATTGAAATTAGCCTCTTCCAGTTGAGTATCTTCACCTTTGATTGTTCCTTGTCCCTGTCCATAAGTACTCTAAACCTAATGATGTTGGGGATCACTGTCGTCCAGATGCTCTCATACTGAAACTTGCTCCACATGCACCACATCATTCCCCAGAACTAGATCCAGCACTGCTTCCTTCCTCGTTGGGCTGGAAAATACTGATCCAGAAAGTTATCCTGCACACATTTCAAGAATCCTTCCCCTCCTTGCCCTTTACACTGTTATTTTGCCAGTAGTCTATTAGGATAATTGGATCCTCTAGCACATTGTCTTTCCAGGGCCGTAACCGTGTCTTTAATCAATATTCCCACCCCACACCTACTTTTTTTCCTTCCCTATCCCTCCTGAATACACTGTAGCCAGGAATATTCAGCTCCCAGTCCTGCTCTTGTTTGGGCCATGTTTCCATTATATTATTCATTATATTATACATTATAACCCCATGTGGCATCTGGAGCCTGCAGCTCACCCAATCTTAGTTGCTATACTTCGTGCATTTACGCACATGCACTACATGACCGACTGAATCTGCTCGGAGTCCTGTAGCTCAGTGGTTAGAGCACTCGCTTTGCTGAGTTCAATCCCCGGCAGAGGGCGAAAACCTCGGGCAAGTTTCCTTACTCCACACAGAGCCTAATAATAATCCCTCCAAAACCAAAAACAATAATAAATTGGTCATTTTCAATCTACGACTGTTTGTGGGACATTGCTGTGCGCAATTGGCTGCCGCGTTCGCCCACAAAAACACAGTCAATTCACTTTACAGTGTATTCTGTGAAGCGCTTTGGGACGTCCTCCCGACGTGAAAAGCGCTATATCAAATGCAAGGATTATTATTATTATTATTATTTCTCCTCCGTCTAATCCCTCCTTTTTTCTGGCTTATTCCTTATTACATTGTTATTCGTCTCTCCCAGTCCTCTATATAACTTGTTTGGCGTCTCTAATGCTACATCCTGATTCCCCTCCCCCCTCAAAATTAGCTTAAACCCTTCCCCACAGGATTTAGGCTTTCCCGTCCTTGGTTGCCTTAAGACATTGGCGGTGAGACCTTCTCTTTGAACCTTGTAGATGGTGATACAATGATGGTGTTGGAAAGCCCAAACAACGATGGTGGTGTCAATCTTAGTCAGGGGTGAGGGGAATGTGGAGGGCACAGAGCTCCTCAGATAACATTGTTCTCTTGGATGGTATGGTATTATGGTATGGAAGCCTAGTTATTACAGTACGTGTAGATTGTACCCCAATGGGTCTAGAATGAGTAACTCTTAGCCTGACTATTTCGGGTGTTGATTTAGATGTCTTCTTCTGCAATGTTTTTGGTCGGCCATGTATCCGACACATGCCCATCACTGTGATCTGATACTCGCGAAAACCCGTCACCGTGATCAGTCGGGTGGCTGACACACACGGAAACCCGTTACCGTGCTTAGGGTTCTCCAAACCAGCCCAAGAGTTCCCACCTACATGTGAAAATTCCCATGTGTGGAATGGAATGTGCGCTCTCTCTCCCTGGAGGGACGCATCCCGTTTATCTAATTCCAGAGAGTATTAGGCACAACAAAAACACACTGCGCTTGAGCGTGAATCTCGTGAAGCGCTTCGAGATGCCCTCCTGACGTGAAACTGAAAGATTATTACAAATATTCTCCGGTCAATAGCATCGGCTACTGAATCATTTAATGAGGGTTTTGTTGACATATGTAAGACGGAACAAATATTAGCATTTCTGATAACTCACGATTTCTAATGAAGAGGAAATTAGGACCAGATTTATCCTTCGGGATTAAATATAGCTGCAGCTATGAGCGATGACGTGTTGTAATAAATGTTGTAATTTTGGACTTAAGCTCTCTCCGATAACACAAGTTATTAGTGAATATTAATCATAATATCATCTGGTGTGCATGCTTATTATGTGATTAAATCTCCGGGTTATATAAACCGGAGTGTTTTATATACCAGTAAACTGATAACTCCTCACTGAGAGGGGAAAGGGCTCAGTGACGAGTTATCAGGAGTGGCGAGTTAGGCGTATGTTTAAATACATAAATAAATGTCGCCGGGATATTGGCAGCAG